CTACACAGATTACAAAGGGGCGGCATTCGTAATCGATCGATGACATACTTTATTCTTTGAACATAATTATATTACTAATATAGGCTTGATTGATAAACCTAATACAACAACATTTATAGACATTTAATAAAATTATTATTATTAATGCAAGTTAATAAAATGCGAAAGTTTAGATGGACGGATTGATGTTTGTTAAAGTTTGTAGCCTAAACAGCTGAACTGATTTGGATGGAATTTGGCATTGGTGTAGAGCATAGTCTAGGAGACCACATAGGATAGTCATTTTTGTATTTTTTAATACTACTCGGACGGAGTCGCGCGCGAAATCTAGGTATAATTTAATATCCAACTCCGGGAGAACAGATTTGTCTGAATGCGATAAGTTTCGAGGTTAAAATTAATGAGTTTTTAATTAATTTATTCAATGTTAAAAAACGAACGTTGTCTGTGTGCAAATTCCTATGCGTATCAAATTAAATCGTTCGCGATATCACCTTGCGCTTTATTAATGCTCTTTCTCTCAGTGTTATTAGCTTCAAGGCAAATCTGCGGCCTAATTATTTATTTAATACTTACTTGTACAACATCGTGTTAAACAATGTTATACGATATTGTATTTGCTACTGAATTTGCCTAATTCTTTAGGTATTCAATTATTATTTCACAAATTAAAAAACGCTTCGAAATCGATTTTTTTCTTAAATTAAGTGATGAAAATCAGATTATATTTTGTTTTTACATACACTACAAAAACAAAAAATGAACTATTAGGAAAAAAATGTTTAATTTTGTTTAGATATATTTTTTTCTAATGAAAAACAACCAAGGTTAAATTTACCATTAAAATATTAAGAACCGTAAACGTTTTTCTCACACAAATTTAAAGTATACAAAAATATTTTTTTATAACATCATTTACTAATTTTTGGTAATTTGTCTATCGTAGGATACAAAACGTACTAAAAACGTATTAGCTGCAGTTAATAAAGGCGTAATATCTAATATCCCGTTACAACAGAGACTGGTGCTGGGGTAATTTTTTAAAACCGTTCTAAGTAGCCGTAATCGGAACAGATTAATTCTTGTATAGATTGGAGTGTTTATTGATCAATTAAATATTCTTAGAATCAATCATGCGGTCGTATAAAGTAACTTAATATTCAATTAACGGATTAACTTATCTGTGAGGCGAGCGTCCTTCGGAGCCCGGCTGATTGGCCGCGGCTGACGGCCGATTGCGTGATTTCAATTATAAGCACATTTGTTCACATATATTTATATGTTTTTAAGTATACTTTGAATAATGAATTACTACTGAATGTTTTTTTAAATAAATAAAATAAAAGAATAAATTCAGATGATTTAAATTTATTTTTATAAATAAACTTAAGCCATGGCTAATACAAAAAGCCTTCTATAGTGTCGAGGAATTTTTCCTACCTAAATTATTTTATGTACACAATTTTCACTTAGAATATCTGTAATGTTTTTTTTATATTTTTGAACATTAAGACTTGTAATTCGCTTACCAATAAAATATTTGTATTTGTATTTGTAATCTGATAACCTGTCAAAACTGAAATTGTAGGAGCCATTAAAGACAAAGCGTAAGGTGAACACTTATTAAATAACACTTACACACTTATAAATTTTTGTACATTATAGCTTTTTAAATAGTATACTTTAAAAGAACAAAATTATATCTGGGAATAATCGATATGAAAGAAATCAGTTTATTCTGATAAATACATTTTAATCGCTTACATTGTACGAATCAAGATATTTTCCCGTTTAAAGTAACAAGGTGAGGTTAAGTAACGTTATATAAGATTGTATCAAACGCTGGTTGCCGCGGTCAGACAACGCTGTAATTTATATTGCTAATAAGTACACAACTTGTGTATTTATTTTACCGACCATTAGAATGGTTAGTTACGTGGATGTTTATTTACATTACGTTAAATATTTTAGGCTAAAAATTGGTTCAATTGCAAGATTTACTAACGACCTAGAACTTTTAGTACCTTAGATAAGCTTTGATTTAATTTTTCATCTCTTCTTTATCAAATCTTATCGTTATAAAAGTCACTAACGACCAGCCCTGGTTTCGCACGGGTCCAATGCTAATACAAAAATGTGTTTATTTACGATATTACATTATAATCTTCTAAAATCATATTTTTTTTCTAGTACATCATACAAATAAACCGTCTTGAATCATTCTATCTAATAAAAAACTCCATATCCGTTGCCAAGTTTTAAAAATCTTAACATACATAGGGAGATAGGGACAGACAGCGGGAAACGACTTTGTTTTATACTTGTTAGTAAAGCTCTTAAATTACCTATATAGGAAGGAAATTCGTACTTAATTGCGCCTGAAGGTTAAGTAGGTAAACTAACAATATAAAATTTGCAACGTAGAGTTTTAAATGAGTACAATCATTTACACAAATGTAAAGTAAATTCATTTAAGGGTTGCGGTAGTTAACAACGTTTGCACACGTAGGTACATTATTGCCCACTAATGATAATAATTTTCACGGTCGGGCGAGCACGGCCGGCGGTTGGACCTTATTATAATAAATTAAAGGCAGCGCCCTAATGGGCCTCGTACGTAATTACACTCCAAGTTACAAACTGCTAAAGGGACGTTAAAAAAATCACCAAGTCGCGTTGCCTCGGCAATTTGCACTCAAGGTTGCTCGCAACTCGCAAGTCGCTACATTACAAATGTATTAAGTTATATTGTGGATCTTCCTGTATGTAAGATTAAATAAAGCAATAATATATGTTTCGTTTAATTCTTTTTTTTTATAATTTATGTACAATTATTGTGAAGGATTACCTCCTTAGTAACAAAACATTGTAACTAGATTTAAATGAGTTAGTAATATAAGTGTAACATTTACTAGCAATTTCCGTTAAATAAGGTATCAAAAGGTTATAATAGTTGTCAGAGTAAAGCATGTCATATTTAATAATATTTATTTCAAACCGAAAATCTAGTTTTTGTTAGATTTTAGGTTTTTATACTGTTTCACTAGCAGAAAATAACTTTTTACCTACTAATTGATAATAATAATAATTTAGATGATCTTAAGTATTTATTCTAATACAAAAATCAGGTAAATGTCTGTACCAATGACATTTTGTGCAAAGTACAGAAAACGATGATGCCATCTCATCGTCAGTTAAGCATGTAAACGTGTAATATAAAATTTATCGTCACCAAATGTCAAGGTACTACAAAATGGTTTTAAAACATAAATTTATTCACAATCCCTTAAGTCTATATAAAGTGCAAAGGCGGGTAGCGAGCACATCGGAACGTCGACGTGGGTGTGTGGTGTACCGCAAGCCTGCCTACACTCGACTGCCCTAATACCCCACTCATTATGTTTATAATCCTCGAATCGTTGCGCGAACCTTTGCCCGGGAAGCCGGCTTTGTTGCTTATTAACTTTGTGTTTAAATATTGACAACATTATGACATGGCTTCCATAAATGTTTTCGAAGAAGTGTTAGTATTAGAAATGTTTTAATCGGACCTGTTGTAGATTTGTAACAACATTACCAGACTTTAGATATATAACCTAATCATATTTTCTTTAAGACCAGCGAAAAGATGAAAGCATACACGACATTATTTTGCCTTTTCAAAATCCCGATCTCCAACGATGACTTTCTAATAAGTTACTAGCTGTTGCTCGCGACTCCTCCTGCGTGAAATCAAATAATATTACTAACTGATAACATAGTTTTTCAATGGCGAAAGAATTTTTGGAATCGGCCCAGCAGTTTTTGAGTTACTTCAATACATGCAAAAATATGAATCTTTCTTCTCTAATATTAGTATAGATAATTGTTACAGAAATCTTATAAAACTTAAGAATATATTAAAACAAGTAGCTATTGAGTTAATGTTGATAAAGAATGACAATAATTGGAAATGAAATGGCTGATATCGACAATAAGTGATTCATTTTATAGTAATTTAATAATGTTGTAGTATAAGTAAATCAGTAATCAAAATAAAAGACTTGAAGGAAGTAAGTGCGGTGGTCAACCACAAGAAGCCTTACCGGGGTAGGGCTTCCCAGGTTCGAGGCCGAACACTCTGATACAGTTTTTAACTGCAGCTAAACAATTAAATAAGCTATGATTATTTTGTGGAACATTATAGTTTTGCAAATAATGCTGGGTTTCTGAATTTATCACTTATTTTTTCATCACCTAGTGTTTCATTAGTAAATGATTTATAGTTTCAAATGAGTTATTCATGTAACTTAGTTCGGAAACGCATTTCAAGAAGTTATTGAACCAAAAACACTAGTTAATGTTTAAAAGTAGGTAGGAAACCGGCCATAAGTCATCACTTTGTAGGAATTAAGACACTGTTATCATTTAAATATTTTCATTTTGGTAAATTCGTGGTATAATTTTTATCTTTAAATCCACAAAGAGACGGTTAACTATATTTTCGTTTTTGTATGTCTTTTTTAGGTGTTAAAGATGATTCAGACGACGTATCGAGTAAGAGCTGCGGCGACGCGTCCGGGCTCGCCAAGAAGCAGCGGAAAGCCCGCACGGCATTCACCGACCACCAGCTGCAAACACTGGAAAAGTCTTTCGAGAGGCAGAAGTACCTCAGCGTGCAAGACCGCATGGAACTCGCCGCCAAGCTCGGCCTCACCGATACACAAGTCAAGACCTGGTATCAAAATAGACGGTGAGTTGTATTTGCATTAAAGTTTTGTAGTCTATGGCGGTAATTGAAACAATTCTGTTCCTTATAAATTCATTTTTAAAAACAATATTCTGTACTTTAACATGCTAAATAGACGTTAGTTCAACGTAAGAATATAAATAGCTTAACTTCACTTTAATTTATAATGGAATACAGCGATTTGTGGGAAAAACGTCGGTTTTTTAATGGGAAAATTGCTCAGTTTTGAGTTAAGGCCACCTCCCACGCAGTAATGGAATTATAAAAGTCGATACGTGTCTAAGAAAGCGCCAACATCAAGGTACAGTCGACTTCGTTCGCGTTAATCCAGTTAGAGAAAATTGCCTTGCACCTCGTAACCTTAGCCCAGAACTGTACTGCAGCGTTACATACTTCTATTTACGTCTGTTGTCCTACTCTCCTTCTCTTTCACAAAAGAAGAGAACAGCAATACGGGAATGCACAGCTACAGTTATCTTTTCAATGCGTATAAGACGTTCAAACGACTATTATAATCAAGGTGGAATACTGGAATACCAACTGCAAAGCTGACTGTACAAAGCAATTACAGAGCGCTTTTCAAACGCGATTCAAGTTATTAACGGCCGAATGGAAATGTTATGAATACGTTTTGAAACATAATTATTATTAAAGCCTTCTGGTATTTCATACCTTAGAAGGTTTAATTAGTAAAAGAAAGCTTTCACAAAATACATTAAATTGTCGATGTTCTTTGTTTAATGATTTTTTTTCAAAAAGTCGTATATAATTTGGATATCTATAGAGTACGTGGAATTATTAAAAGGATTTTATGTGAACATACATCCATAAACACAGTATTTTGTTTAGTTGTATTACATTTATGAACGTTAGATATGTGACAATCTCGTAATTCCGTTTCTTGCATTGCATTCGCTGACGTTCTTTGGCCTCGCAATGAAGGTTCTGCCCTAAATGTCTATTACGATCATTTAATTGTAACTTAATATGATACATTCATATGTGATTTTGCCATTTACATTGCCACCTGATAAAAATATTGTTATTTAAAACAGTATTTTTATCAGGTTTATTTTTTCATTGCCTGAACACATTAAAAAAATACGTTTTAATTTATGTAAATTGTTAAGTTTAAAAAAATGTATGTGAAAGAATTGCTTCATTCAACAGTAGAATTTATCCATTATAAACTGTTAGGTTGTTTTACAATATACTAGTTGTAGTTCGCGACGTCGCCCGCATGAAGTTATATAACATAGGCTATGTTACTCACAGATAAATTACCTTTGTAACGATGTAAGAATTTTTTTAATCCGACCCAGTAGTTTTTGAGTTATTCAATACAAAAATACATATAATATTAGTATAGACAAACAGAGAAAAAATGATTTATTTCCGAGGATTTAAATCATTTGTAAAACGCTGTAAGCTTATGAATTGCGTTGTCGGAACTGCGTGAGATAGTCGGCGTGGCATAGAGTGTGCTGAGTCAGCGCGACGCGATCTTGCTGCTTATTGATTATTGTACACTTGTACAAGTCGAGTATTTGTTGTTTACTGGATAAAGATTAAACACACTAGCTTTAGTCCGCGACTCTATACGCGTGGAATAAAAAAACCTAAGAAGCCTATGTGTTCTTCCAGACTATGCTCTACATCTATGTCAAATTTTATCGAGATACGTTCTGCAGTTTAGGCTACAAACTCTAACAAACATCCATCCATCTAAACTTTCGCACTTATATTTTGTTTAAACTCCACATTATCTTATAAGCTTGTTTACTATTAAGTCCTTTGTTAAAATCCTCTGTCGGCGACTGTACCCGGCGGTGATTTCAAAAACAAACGTTCGTAATTAGGCCTCTGCTAGCCGCCGACCCGCACCACCTTTAAACGTTATAAAAAACTACGGTAGTCCAGAAAAAAACGACTACCCATAGTAATTTCGTACCAATTCCACGCCTTTTTATTTCCTCGTATTACTTTTAATCGATTCGTTTGATCATTTAGAGGTTTATTGATATTTACTTTGAATAAAACGGAGTACTATAGGCATTTAAATGTTTTAATTCTGCAGACTTTATTCCACAAAGCATACACTTTTACTCATAAACGTTTTAGGCTAAGCGCCATCTGCGCTCGGCCAACTTAAGCCCCGTGAATCTGTAAATGCCTCTTCAAGGCAAACAGTGGCCATTCAGTCACAAAAAAAAGCATACACTATCCGCTTTTGCAATAATGTTTTGGTCTGATTAGAATTAATTAACAAAAACTTTTTTAAAAAATTATTCATTATTATTTGCCAGGGTACTCAAGGTACATTTTGTGCTTTGCAAAATTCACCCATTTCCACCCATTTACGGTTAAAAGATAGCAGAATTTGTTCTTATAAGTTAATGTTGAAATGACAGTATTGACCAATAAATATTACAGTGATTACA